AGCAGTTTCTGCTCTTCTAGAATATTAATTCAGAATAAATTCTGCCAGGAGCTTCAAAATTCATCATTTGGAGCTGGGAACCTAAGAAGACAGGCAGTGTTTGGTCAGTGTACATCAGGAGAGTTTGTAGGAGGATCTGCATTTCTGCAATAGAGGTGTGACTCATAAGAGTCACAAAAAGATTCATACTTTTTGCACCCCATGTAGAAAGCAAACCCATCACAGGTGTTTCCACAGACCCTTTGCACAGATCACTACTGGAAAACTCCCTTATCAGGGCAGGAATTCTGAGTTGTGCCCTCAACAGAAGGGATATATGAGATATTTATGATTTTGAGGATGTTTCCTTTGTATGCAGCCTGCGTGGGGACCTGTGAGGTTGAATTTACCACATCTCCAAGGTCAGAGACAGAGCTGCTCTGGGGACGGAGGTGAGGCCATTCAGTGATGAGCACAGTAATGCTGAGCTGCCAGAGGCACTGCTGTGCTGGTTGGTGAGGACTGAGTGTGGCCCCTGCCTCAGTGAACAACCAAAACCTGCCACTGGGAGATGGCACCCAGCCACCAACATGAAGTGCACCTTGGTCTGCACACACACTTGCTGTGGTTGTGAAAATTGCTCGCCTGCTCTCGAAAGCCTCTGTGAGCCCATTCACTGGGGTGAATCACAAAGATCTCTTGTGCAGTGACAACTGCGTCCCAGCAAAAGCCCCAGTGCAGGGGCCTCATACTGCCTTTGTAGAGCCTTCCACAGGCGGAACCTCCCAGCACCTAAAAATGCCCCAGGCTTCAGCTCTAAGGAGAGCTGTTGAAATGTTACCTGCAAACATGATTTCGTCTTGCTGAATACAGCAAGGCAATTTTGCACTCCACTGCAATATTGTTGGGGTGACCCGGGTGTCAGAGGGTTAGACAATAACACTAAAGATAGGAAGTGTGCCTGTGCAATAGGTTAGATACGGAACAGTGTCTTGTCATAAACAGAGTTTGGCCTCATCTACACAGAAGGAATCAGCCTAAGTTTACCGTATCACAGCCTTGCAGAAATCATGGACCAAATCCTGACATTTCAGTAGCTTCAAGACTGGTGCTAACTCAGAAAATAGTTAAATGCAGTTCTAGTTCTCTGTGGATGAAAAGGATTGATTTTCCAGTTCCGCGAGAGGAATACTGTACCTGGCTGCTTCAGGGCTGTGGTAATTGCAACAGGGATGGGACTTTGGCAGGCCAAGGAGTAGGAGGCAAGAACAAGCCATGAACTGTATATGTGAGGCCACAACAACAGATGGGGCTGGAGGAAAACCATCCAAATTAAAATTTTGTCCATGGGTGAAGCAAAGACCGGCTTGCAAAAACCTGCCTCTGAACGTGCCCACACAGAATGGGTGTTTGGGTCTCAGTCCAAGCCTTCCTGGAAGCTCAGTGGTGTAAGAGGTTAAGAGTGAGAGCAGAAGAGATCCCAGGGTTCATATCAGCAGAGGGTTCAAAGCAGGTTACAGAGTCCAAATCCAGCAGCTCCTTTGTCCAGTGACTCATGATGATGAGGGCAGTTTTGCAGAATCACAGCTTCAGGCCTTTGGATGTTTTGAAGAAGGCACCTCAGTGCTGATGCATGTGAACTGCTCCCAGCTGAGCTCTGTGAGTAGAGAGCATGGATGGCATCTGACCAGTTCTGGTTTTACCCACTCCCTCTGTATCACCACCATCACAGACAGTGAAAGAATTGCACAAAGGTTTGTTCAGCTGCCTCCCCCACTCTGACTGTGGTGGGAGGCGAGAAGGCATGGGCTGTGTTTTCATCCAGCCTGGAGGAGACTGTGAGGAGCCACTGCAACCGGCCTCAGTCAGGTGAAAGGTCACTGCAAAAGGCAAGGGGAAAAAAAAGAACCTGTTTTCTTTTCCCACTGGGGAAAAACCAAACTCATGTGTCTTAAACACACTAAGAAGAACAACAGCAATACCATTAACACATTAATCACTTCCTGAGTAGGCTGGAGGGTTGTAGGACTGTTAAATATATATCAAAAAGCATCTGTCAGGCATGGGCTAGGTTTAGTTAATCCTGCCTTGGAGAGGAGGATGTGTTAGCTGGTCCCAAGGTCTTACTCTATGTTCAGTGATTTCCCCATTCCTCATGGTACTGAGGAACCAAATACAGCTATTAAAAGCTTTGTAAGTTCCCCATTGGTCTGTGTTTCTTCCATTAAAAAACCCAACAACAACAACAAAACAAAAACTAAAAAAAAAAACCAAACCAAACAGACGAAACCATGGTTTATTTAGGAAGGAAATAGATATTCAGGGAAGGAAAACATCCTCTATTTATTCCGTAGTCAATGCTTAAGAGAGGACTGTGAGACTAACCAGGTCCGGCAGTGCTTTCTAAATGGAGGCAAAACTTGTCCTATGGGAACAAAAAGATAAACCACAGCCAGCACTGCAGTCTCTCCTGTAAGTGCCTCCAGTTTCTTGGACTGGTAGCTTTCAACTTCTCTGATTTTCTTCCCATGATCTTCTCCCTTTGAAGATGCAGGCCCCATACAGTGAATTTAAAGTGGCCAGCAAAAGGCTTGCTCTCCTTAATTACCTTTCAGAATAGAGGGTCTGCAGGCCACGGGTCAAAGGGCACTTTGTTGAAGAGAATTCAGAGTTAGGCTCTTCAAAACCAAGTGCAAGGGATCAGGCATCTGAACATGGTATTGCCTGGGGCTCTGCCTTGTATTAGGCTCCCACGGAGCATTTTGTATTTCAGAGCCCTTCTTTGGGACAGACCTAAAAACAAGCAGTTCAGTGTAAAGGGGGCTGTGCACAGGCAGAGGGGAAAAAAAAAAAAAAAAAAAAAAAGTCTAAGGGATTAACAGTGACAGACTGGTCTACAACCCCCCTGGGGCTTGTCAGCAACCTCATCACAGGCTGCGCTGCCACTCCTCACGCACTCGGGCTCAGCCACGGGACATGGTGTCATCCTAGGCTGTGCGCAACCCTCACAGCGTCCCCTGACACACACAGCGCGGGACAGTGACACCGCACAGCTTTTGCGGCAGGGCAGGAGCCTCGTGGAAGTTACACGAGTTCCTCACTTCTGCAGTTCCTGGGGGCTGCCAGGAGTTTCTCTTTCAGTTCATGCCCCGGAGGGATGGAGCACACCACACTGCAGCACGGAGCATTGTCAGCAGAGACCGAAATGGGTTGTGCTTGGCAAGCACAGTGGAAAGGAAAAAGAGGGTGACCTGGGAGGATTGCTGTTCTCACTTCATTTTTCCATTGCATCTGCTGCCTTGTTTTTTTATTTTTTTCTATCAAGTCTGAAGAAAGAAACAAAATATAAATGGGCTCTCTCACTGTAAGTGCTACAGCAGGGGAGCATTTTTGAAAAGACGAAAGCAAGGTCTGGGTTATAGTCTCCATCCTTACACTCACCTCCTTCTCTGTCTCTTCCCTCCCTGTCTCACTTTCTCTCCAGCATCCCACCACCACTCCTTCTCAGGGTGCTGAGCTGATGCTTGTGCTGGTGCTTTGACAGGTTACCAAGGAATTATATCACTCACAGGCTGGCCCTGAAGAGACATTTTTGAAAGCACCTCAGCTCTCCCCACAGTGAATTGTCAACAGATACAATGGCTCAAATATGACAGCAATTGAAGGTGATAAGAATGTCATTGGAAGGTGATAAGAATGTCATTGTCATCTGAGCTGCTGGGAGCAGCCTCTGGCTGCTCCAGAGGGGCAGAGTGTGGTGGTGAAATATTGACCTCAAAGCTCAAACTGTATAGACAGTGCTGGCCTCCTACAGCACCACCTCCAAACCACCTCTGGCAGAAGATGAATCTCATCGGCATCTCCCTCCCCTCGAGAAACGCAGCCCTTGCCACCCTGTCCAACACAGCCCCTCTCCTGGCTGGCTCGGCTGAAGGTCCAAGGAGTGCTCCAGGCAGGTCCTGTCCTGCAAAAGACCTGGCATGGGGAAGGGCTATTCTGGGCTCTACCCTACCTCCCCAAGGCAAAGCATGCAGTGTTGGGCTCAGGCACACCATGTGTCCCTCAGGAAATCTGCTTCACCCTTCCCTACTGGCATGTCTCCCGCACCACCTGCCTCCATCCATCCCCGGGCAGCAGCAGAGCCAGAGGACAGGGGTTATCCGTGCTCCACACCAACACTCTGGCAACTTCAATTGCCCATTTCCATGACAGCATCACGGGCTGCAGAGAAAGGTTTACAGAGGGCACAATGCCAGGAAAGTCCCTGGAGAAGATCTACGTAGAGAAAATTCCCTTTCAAATCACAGTCTTGCCCACAGCACCCATGACAATTGACCTGTCCTAGAACTGAATACAGGGAAAAGGTCTATATTTTTATGCATTTGACTGGTAATGAGTACAAGGTGGACCCCTGGACTTGGGTCTCCATTCACTGGTAGAACTGCAGTGGCTGAGGGAATCACCGCTCCCAAAGCCTCAGAGCAATCATGTGCTTGTTTGTAAGAAAAGTTTTGAAGCTTGAGGACCCTTTACTCAGGCCTGGAAACAAAAAAGCCAACATTTCTTCATTCCATAGCATGTCTCTGAGAACCATAGGTACCATGAAATGCCTTGAAACCAGGTAGCAGCCAAAAGCAGGCTCCCAAAGTTAGGACATTCTTCTGAATGCCAGGGAGGAGGCTGTGTGTACACCCTGCCTCTGAGTATAGCCTCAGGCAAGCCACTGATTTGCACCTCAAACCTGCAAAAAGGAACCTTTCCTGGTCTTGTTTTAACCCTCCAAGAACATGAATTCCTCTGCAAGCCCAGTACATATCACTCCACATTTAGCTGGCCAAGTAGACCCTCTGGCTCTGCGGCCTGGGCCCTTTAATTGCTGCTCCTGTATTTCAGATGGCTCTTGCAAACCTCCTGTAACCTGAGCAGACAAAATTGGTGCTGGCACTGGAAAGCAGTTATGCAATATGCAGGAGGTAAAACCCTCCCGGCAGGGGCACGTGAAAGGAGATACAAGTGGGAGGCTCCAGTTGCTGAGGTGAACACCATGTCCCACGAGGAGACAGGGAGAGGAGAGATATACATGTCATACAATCAGAGAATGGTTTGGATTGGAAGGGACCTTGAAGATCATCTAGTTCCAGCCCCCACTCTGGACTGTCTCCCTCCTTGCTGTTGTTCTCCCAGCCCATCTCTGCCACAAAGAGTGGACAAATCTAGAGATGGTGGAGACACTGCTGGAAAAATCAACAGTCTGAATCTGAAAAGCCAAGACAGGAGGCCTGCGCAGATGCTCTTCACTCTTGTGAACATGTTTCAAGTACCACCTTTTTGTGTTCAAAGCCATCAAGTCAGCCACATGTTCACTGAGTTGTATCTCCTCTTCTGTCTCTCCGTGCTACCCCGGAGCATGCAAACACAGGAGGCTCCTGAAGCATAGCTGGGAAGGTGCTGGGCACCCCCACAGGGCGCAGCCTGCCATCTGTTGCCCTGGTAAGTGTGCTGTGCCATGCCATGCCATGCCATGCCATGCCTGGCTCCTCCACCAGCCAGGCCCTGCTGCTCCCAAGGGCAGGGTTTGGCTGAGGCAGACTGGCTTTGGCACGTGTGAGCGGCAGGGCATGGATCCTGTTTCCTTGCGCTGGCATGTGCTGCACTGTGTGGTGGGGCTGTACAGGCTTGAGCTGTCCTGTCTCCTCAGGTGAAGTCTGAGGCTGATCCCACCCCTGCTGCCGGGGCAGCTGCTCCAACCTGTAAAGGCAGGATTTTGCCCACAGCATGTTTTTCTCCAGCCATGCAAATTAATGTGGAGTTAACCAAGAAGTGGGATCTCACCAGTGCTCTGCACCACCTACCTGTGTTGGAGTTGCTGGTACTCCTCTCCTCCTTTTCTTCCTGCTGAAAGCCCCCAGGTTGCCAGCGCCATGGAGCTGCCCTGCCACCCTCAGCCAGAGGGACCTGGCTTCCAATGCTGCCAGTTCAGCTGGGAACAAATGTCCACCAGTTCCTCGCTGCATTGTCCTGCATGAGCCATGCAAAATATTTGGATTTTGGCTGCAGAAGGTCTTGCACCCTGCTCCTTTCTAACCCTTGCGAGAAGCTGCCTTGCTTTCCCCTGCCTGATTAAGCACATTCCTTCCTCTCTCCCTTCTTTGCTCTGCCCTGCAGCAATTTCCAAAGCATTTTTGTGGCATCCGAGACCCGTAGACAAATTCATGAGCTGTGGAGATGCGGTTTCTGTCATGTGCTCTCAGCTCTGAGTCCTGGCTAGGGCAGGGGCGGTGGGTCCACAAGCATGAGGGCACTGTGCTCCTTTCCTGAGGGTCAAAGGGTACTTACCATTCCACAGTCTTTCTAAGTGAAATCAAATTGCTCACTGCGAGCTTATTGGGGAAATACTGTCTGTGCACTCTCTCCCAGGTTCCTGACTCTCAAAATAATAATAATTATGTGGCCTGGAAAAAATTATTGTTAACCATACGCTTGGGAACTGCTTCTATTATGCAGCTTTATGGGAATCTATACAGCTCCCATGGCAGGGGATTATTTACCTAGGCCCTGAGAAAAAGTGGAGGAGCCTGCATGCTCCTTCTGGCTATTGTACTGCCAAATCCCACGGCAAGGCGTGCGGAGAGCGGTTTCCTCTAGCTGTCATTAATCCTTGTGGGCTTGGCGGCCTCAGCGCACGGCATCCTTTGGGTCAGCGGCTGCTGGGGAGCCAGACTATTGTTTGAGGGCTTTTGTCCCAGACAGAGGAGCTGAGGAGCCAGGCTTTTTAGGTGTCCCCACCACAAAGTGACTGGCTTGCAGCGTGGAACTTGCTTGGGCCTTTCCTGGCTGTGCTGGTGGGGCTGGATTTGGACCCATTTTGGTGAGGCCGAAGGAAGGAGTGGCTCTGGGATGTCCCAGTATGAGCTGTGCTCACCCTGCATGAGGGAGCTTCCCCACATACCTGTGGCTGCAAGGGGATGGCTCCACTACAGCCCCCATGGATAGGATGGAACACCCAGGACCCCCAACTTCCTCCTGGTCCCTAACTCCAAGCCTGATCTTCTAATCCCTGCAGGGCAGAAGCAGGAAGGCTCAGTTTCAATTCAGTACATGAGCTGGAGCAAAGGAATTGTGCCCTTTCTCTAAGAACTAAAAGAAGTCTTGCAGGGATGCTTTCTAATCGAGATGTTGCCCATGGCTTGTATGTGCACAAGTGTGCACGGAAGGAATTGTGGCATGGAGGGAAGCCCAAACAGGCCCTTCATTCTTGCCATGGGTGTGCAGAGCCCTTTCTGGTTCTTTTTATGATGACAACCTTAGAGGAAGAAACAGAAATATGTGTTTTCCAAGCCAGGGTTCAAAGCGGGTTTATAGCTCTGATGGGAAAGTCTCTGTTCAAGGTTGCATCTCTCTCAGCACAAACTACACTTTAGAGACAGCTCAGAAGGAAGCAAGCTGTGACTTCTTCCCCACTGATGCTGGCAGGCAGTGCACTGGTAAGCTTGGAAAGAGCTGCCTTTTCTTTCTCTGGGTGAGGCATGCAGCAATGCCTTCATGTGGGCATTTCTCCCCACTCCTGTCCCACTCAGGGCTTTAGGAAGGCCCCAGAGCAAAGCAGCCAGCCCCTACTGCCACCACATTGTGACTGGAAGCTTTCCTCTCTGGCTTGCAGCCAGAGCTCCCTCTTTCTGCCCTCTTCAGGGGTGCTGTGTGCCACCACAGCTTTGCCAGTGGCAGCAATATTACTTTGATGCTGCAGCCACTCCTTTTGGTAACTCATTGCTTTGAGAGGTGCTGCTGATGGACAGGAATGAGAAAGGCACTTTTTACAGCAGCCCAGCAGTGATGCCAGAAGTGCTTTCAGGATCTGAAGAAGGTCGGTCTGATGGCCCCCATAAGCAGAGCTGTGCTACTGTCCCCCCCAGTGCCACCTGGGCAAGGGACACAGGGAGAGTCCGTGGGTTTTCCGAACCCACGCAGCACGGGGCTGCCTCAGAGACCCCTGAGCTGGTGCATCCCATGGCCCTGAGTGCAGTGCTGGTCTGGGGCTGGGGGCACACTGGTGTGGCTCCATACCTAGACTCCCAGCCCACACCTCCAGTGTGGAGGTGCAGCGAGCCAACTGTGCAGCTGGCCCAGGCAGCCTCCATGCCTTGCAGGGATCACAAAGCACCAGCGTGGCCCAAGGGACCTGCCCAAGGTTCCCCTGGGAGTCTGCAGCAGAGGAAATGACCAAGCTCTGTGTGACCCAGCCAATGCCTGGTGGAAGCAGAGCCACCCTAGTCCCTGCATCAGCCTTCACAGTGCATGGGGGAGTGGGATGATGCTGCTCTCAGGCATCAATCCCTCCATCTTCTCCCTGATTTTGCCCAGGGAGGGGCATGCCGGGGCACGGAGGGACACCCTTCCCCTGCCCTGCGCTCAGCGGATGCGGACCGCGGTGGCAGCCGGACAGAGCTGCTTTCTCCAGCACAGTGCTGCCATTGTCCAGCTGGGCTCTGGGCCCTCTCATCCCCACCAGGATGCGGGCACAGCCAGGATCTCTGCAGCCCAGCACACAGACAAGGTGAAGGGGATGGATGGAAGCCTGTGGAGCAGGCAGCCCACCTTTGTGTCTCCACAGGGCAGCCCCACTGCTTTTTGGACTTCTAAGCAAAAGATTATACAACAGTAAAGTGGTGGCTAAAAAAAGGAAAATCTAGATTAATAGGAGGAGGAAGGGAGAGCAGATGACGCTGAGATGTGAGGGGCAAGACAGAGCCAGTGAGACAGAGCTGGGCTGCAAGCCGGAGAGGAAAAGCCGTGAGCCCCGTGGGAGCTGGGCTGTGGGAAGAGACAATGCAATGGAGGGGAAGGAGCCAGCTCCCACTCTGGAACAGGCACAAGGCTGCAATTAGAGAGAGGAGACAGTGTGTCTGCTCAGGCTGGGAAGTCTCCTGCCATGGACGCAGGGTCGTGCAGGGGCTGGGGCAGAAAGCCCCTGCCCGCTCTGTGCCCCTGCACACAGCTCCCCTTCGACTGGCACCCCGAGCGGGGCAGAAGCCCCAGGGGCACACACTGGCATTACCTGTGGCTCCAAGGTGCAGGGGCTTTGTTCCCCAGCGCAGGCACAAGATGTCTGGCTTGCTCTGTGCTTGCACTGCAGCGGCATGGTCATACCAGGCCCCCTTCCCTGGGCCAGTCCCAGCCCTCCTCCCCTGGCTGCCCTGGGCAGCCCCCTCCTGCCTCCTAAACCAGCTGATCAAATACCAACGTCCTTCGGGCAAGCAGGTTGCTTGACTGCTCACCTCTCACAGCTAGAAGCACCCTTCAGTAGGCTTTTGGAATTTTCCTGGATGAAGGATGCTATGGAAATATGCAACTCCAGAGCACAGGCTCTGGTTTTAGTGTCCTCCTCTGCACTGCGATTATCTAGCTCCCAATGGAAAATTTAAGTTTGTTTGGAAACAGTCTCTGGGTTTGGCTTGAAAAGGCTCAGAAAATACCATGCAAGGGTCACAAACTTTTAGCACAAGCCATGTTTGGCTGGGGCTGTAAAAGAGGAGGGAGCTGGAGGAGGAATAGGAGGAATATGAGTACACACCATTTTTGCTACCGCAAACTTGGCCAGGAAACTCTTTGCGCTCTGGACATAAAGGTCCAAGAAAAGAGTTTGGTGCTTTTAAAAGAAAAAAACGAGTCATGCAGCCAGAGGAACTGATTTCCAAATTTGCTTTTTACAGCTCATTTTCACCACCCAGCCAAGAGACAGATGAAGCAGAGCTCCTGCAAACTTCTGCTGAAGTGACAGTAAAGGAAGATGCTTGAAAAAAGCCATCAACTCCTGGCAGGGACAGAAGAAAGAGGAGAGCCCTGGTGAACCAACGGTGGTTTTTTAAAATATAAAATAATATACTTCAGACTTGCAGTGGTTTTTGCTTCCTGATCAACAGTTTTAAGCCAACCCAACTGCTTTCCTCTTTTTCTGGTCATTTTAAGGTCTTTTCACCGAGGTGAAATTAAATACGAGGCGCGGGAGGAGACCTGCCGGTTTTCCTGTCATTCTCACCTGCGTGGGAGTGGCAGGAGCTGGGAGTTAAGGCAGCACCGTGTATTCACTGACCAGGCAGGCACAGAGAAGTGTGGAAGATCACCACAGTGTATTTAAAGCTGTGCAGCAATAACAGCTAATTTGTTTTTGCCTGAAGAGCAGTTAGGGTTGGTTTTGTTTCATTTTAAATAAAGACATTTGGACTCCAAAGGTCATTTCCGTGCAATAACAATGCTCCTTTGAGAAAGGGGCACCGGCAGGGTCTCCGTTACTCCCAGTGCTCCCAGTCTGGTTTGAAAGCCCAGCTGCAGTTCAGCCGGGCGAGCATCCCCTGGGCTGCCCTCTACACGGTGCAGCAGCCGCTGTCCCAGTGCCCCTGCCACGGGAAGTGCCGGAGCTCAGGAAGAAGTGTTGGTTGCTCTGCTGGGGTGTTCATATAGGCACCATTCTCTCCCAGTGCCTATTTGACAGTAAAATGAGGATGGTGTCCAGTCCATTTCACCCCTTACCCCAACCTCAGCAGCACCCCTGTGCCTTCTGGGAGCGCTGGCAGAGGATGGTGCATCCCCAGCAGGCAACATACAGCTGGCTGTAGGTTCTCCTCATCCTCAACAGGTATGGCATGACAAGCAGATATAATGAAAAATTCTGATTTTAAAGTAGGTCATTTGCAGTGTGGGAAGGCTTTCCATGAGCTGATGCCTTTAAACGGCAGGTGAACATGCTTCACTGACTACAGTGAAATTGGTAGCATGATGTGTATCCATACATAGACGCTAGGCAATAGAGGAAGCATTCAGCAGAGCTGGGTGAAAAAGCAGGCAACTTGGTTCCCAGATCCAGCTACATACTTATTTTCCTACATGCTTCCTAAACAGCTACTCTCTCAGGCTTTAAGCAGGCAGAAAACATTGGAGCTGTGAAAAAGTAAACTTGAAGCTCAGACTATTCTCTGTCTTGCAGGCAGAGAATACTTTCTCTCTTCTTCAGTGCAGCCCCCAGCATCACCTCCTATCACTCAGTCTTCAAGTTACAGGGCATTTTGCTTGAAAAGTACCTTATCTTTTATTCTATGTGGGAAAAGGATCTTCAGAAAGAAAAAGCCTTTGAGCTAAAAAGAGCTCCCCTCCTTAGCGAGCACTGCTGTTTGTCACCATCTCGGAAATTTGTAAACCCTTTTCTCTGTATTTATCTAACTCTGCTATTTTGGGATTTGCCGTAACTGTCTGCACCAATGAGGTGTGTGTGGAAGGGAGAGCGTCTGTGCTGCTTGGCTGATATTTTTGGCCAGTGCAAAGCTCATTTCTGGGAACCTTGGTACCTCGGGAAGATGCAGTTCTGATCCCCTCCTAATCTCTCTGCCTCCTCTTCCTCTTCTGAGAGCATTGATGCCCACAGTGGCTCAGCAGTCCCCAGCATAGATGTCTCTGGCTGTGTGGAGGGATGGAGGAGAAGGGAGAAGGAGACTGGGATGGATGGCACAACTGGCTGCAGTGGGACCTCTTCTCTCATGCCAGCACTCTTGTAGCTCCAGGAAAATTCATCATGACATGAAGGAAGTCTGCACAATTTTGCCTCCCTAGGGCATGGTGGGACTGTGATGCTCCATAAGGGAAGGCAGTTTACTTCCTCTGCTTTTCCCAAAACTGCCCTGGCAACTCCCAGACAGCCAGCTCCTGTGTGGGAAAGAGTAGCACGGGCCAAACGTGGCCAGCCAGGAACAGAAAGGAAAGGACTTCATCAGCCCACAGTCCTTCCCAGGGAGGTGTGAGTGCATGCATATTGTATGCATACACGTGTGTATGTACCTTAATACCCTACAGCTTAAAGACACTCATAATTTTAATATTCTTGTCCAGCAAGGGTCTTTCCAAACCAGCTCCAGACACAGGTAACCCTGTCTGCCCCATTCGGCTCTCTTGTGCTGTCAACAGAGAGACCTGTCCTCGCATAACCAAAGTTGTGTTCAGAGCCATTGTACATCTACTGATCACACACAAAGGGCTTCCAGATTTCTTGGAAGCTCGCAGGAAAAAATTTTTTCAGTTCCAGAGTTTTGATTAGGGCTTGTCTTCCAGTAGCCAGGAGGTCACAGTGTCTGCACAGATCACAACCTGAACATCTGCATCCTATTACACAGCATGGTGATTATTTTTCAACATTCCCCACGTCTTCTAGCAGTGACAGTGGTGATTAAAGCCTGGAGTGGATTCCTGAGTAGCATTTCAGCTTCCTTTACTTTCGCATCCTGACCGTAAACAGAAGAAGAGGGTTTTCCTTGGGCACTAGGTCAGGAAGCCCATGTGCCTTAGGGTGATGCTGACGCACTGATGAAAGCCCGGAGATGTCAACTGGTACAAAGCAGCTGAACAAACCTGCCAAGGGGTGCCAACAATAGCAGGATGTCACTGCAGCTCACAGGGAGGAGATTTCCATTCACTGATTTGGCTCCCGTGCCAAAAGCCGTCCAGTGGTCCAAGGAATAAAGCCATTGTCTCCAGGAAGTGACCTGCAGCAGACTCTGGTGGCTCAGAGAGAGTGATGGGGGTTTGGTTTCCCATCTGCAGTGCCAGAGCCACAAGAGGAGGAGGAGGAGGAGGTGTGTGAGGAAGGTTCAGGGCAGTGCACCTGTGGGCAGCTCCCCTTGAACTTCTCACATGGTCTGGAGCCTCTGCTACAAGGGGGCTCAATAAACAGTCTTGTTGAAGACTGGGACTTTATTGTTCTCCTTGGTGGAGGGAGGGGAGACAGCTCAGGGAGATCAAGGAGCCAAGAGGAAAAGGATTATTCATGTCAAGTCTATAGCAAGAGGCTGGAGCTGCCAAACAAGTATTCCAGCCAGGAGACAGTCTCAAAATTTCCTGACTGAGAAAGGATTTTACTTTCTCTGCTCATTATGCATGGTGGCATTAATGAGCCCACATTTCTGAGCTGTTGGGTTTGGCCTTGTGCAGGTCAGCATTCAACATTCAAGAAACTTCCTTCACTGTATTTTTCCCTACAAGTCTGTGAGGCAGCCAAGAGCAGGAAACTGTCTATAAATGAGGGCAACTGCTCCGGGTGGGGTCCAGGCACTGAAAGCAGCTGATATCTACGGTCTAGATCCAGCCAGAGGCGAGACACGAGAGAGAAGGCCAGACTCATCCAGCTGCTCACCCCTTCTCCTGGGAGGAGGGGCTGTGGCACACACCAGGGCACATGCCCTGCACAGCAGCTCCTGCTGCTTCCCTTCACCACAGGTCTCTGCAGCTTCTCCTCTCCTGGTCCCTCATTACCTGCCTGGTATTTCTCTGCTCATCTGCTCATCTGCCTCCCCTCGGTGTGTGCCAGTGTCCTGTCCCCATGTGCCTGCCTGCACGTGCAGCCCTGTCTGCGTGTCTTGCTCTCAGTAAAGGCTCAGGTTGCCCGGGGCTGCCTGCACATCCAAGTCCATCTGTGTTTTTTCTGCTCAGTTATGCTTGTGTGCTTCTCCCTGCGTCCTCCTTCCAGCTCCTGCCTGTGTCTCTGCTTGCATCTCCCTCCACCGGCCCTTTTTATCCCGGTAAACAGGACAGGCACGTGCATCCAAGCCCCGTGCGCCCAAGTTGGCTGGAATTGCACTGGCTCAGAGCCAAGACAAAGGATAGGGAAGAGGAGGAGGGATGGGGGGAAGTGAAGGGGAGCGAAAAGGCTATTGGAAAAGGCCTAGGGGACAACCCAGGTTCTTGTTGCCTTTGCATTGCTCTCATGGAAAAGATCCTCAGATAAGCCTGCTGACTATGATAATGACCTAGTGCCTGCAAGCCACCAAGCTGGAGGTGAAGAGAAGCTCTCCTTCATCCTCCAAGACAAGAAAGGACGAGTATGAACCAAGGCAGCTGCCTCTTGGGCTAATGGGGGTCAAGGGTGGGGGGCACAGATGCACATCAGAGCTCAGGCAAAAGGGAAGGGCTGCAAGGCATTTCGAAAAGGCAGACTCAAGGCAAAAATCCTCCAATTTCAGAAAAATGCAGGTTGTGCAATTAAGGCTGTTAAGGAGTAACAATGCACCCCTCCCTCAGAGAAAGGGCAGCTGGCCCTGCATGACATAGCTTGGAAATACTTGCTCAGAGCCTTGCTTAAAAATTTGTTCCCTACACACTGGCAACCACATCACACACCAGATGAACTGCCACTTGCATGAGGAGCTTCTGTGCTGTGCCCACAGGTGTGGTGGTGCAGGGGGAGGATGCTGCAGCAAGGGCATGTTGAAACTTTCCAAAAGAGTTTGCAAAGGGCAGGCGATCTGTGGCTGCTGTGGGCTTTGAAGAGTGCAGAGGACCCTGATGGGCCAAAATTACAAGAAGCAGAGAGGTCAGGTGAGAAGCCCTGGAAGAGGAAGGACTGGCAAGGTTTCTGGAGACATAGCTGGGAGGATGGATGGAGCAAGTTGGCTCTTGCTTCTTGCATGGCACATGCCACACAAGTGGTCAGAGCCACCCTGGAGCACCGGCAATGCCGGCAGCATACACATGTGCAGGGAGATAGATGCAGGGGTGGGGAGACAGGAAGAGGCACAGAGGCAGGCACAGGATGAGTCAGCTGTACCAGCTGATGACTAGGGGGGGTCCTGGAAGCTGTCAACATTTCTGTCTCACTTTCTGGAAATACCCAGCCTCAATGGAAAACTACTGCAGCAGAAGTTACCAGCACAAGTCCTGCTTTGAATACCGGGCCAAAACCAACACAGCAATGCTTGCTTTCCCAAATTTTAATATAACTCCTTTAGTCCTATATGGAACCAAAGAAACCTTAATGAAGCAGTTGACACGATGGAAGCAAGGGATGTCACCCAGACAACCTGGACAAACTTAAGATCTGGGCACATCCAAGGTCAAGTTGTTGCGCCTG